GTCTCTCTGCACGGATGTCCCTGGGGCTGCGGCCAGCGCGCGGAACCGTGTCAGTGGGGGGGATGGCGAGGGAGCGTCCCCGGGGAGGTGGGAGCCGCAGTGCCACGCACCCCGCCTACCAAACAGCTGGGGGGAGGGGAGGGCAGGGGAGGCGAGGGCGGAGGCGCAACCGCCATGCGGCCCAGGGCTGCCCGCGCCCCCAGAGCAGGAGACACGCAGAGAGGGAGAGAGAAGGGGCAGAGGCAGAGACAGGGAGATGGAGACGGCCAGAGACAAAGGGGGTCGCGGTGAGTGCGGAGGGGCTGAGAGAGCCGGAGGTCAGGGGAGCCTGGGCGAGCCGCACGCCCTGGTCAGGGAGGAAGGGGTGGGGGGCAGAGAGGCGGAAAATTGAGGGATTAGGGCTGAGGGAGACGGGAGCGGGAGATGGCGGCAGAGGAGTGGGTTCACCCAGCCCTGCGAGCAGCCCGCCTCGCTCTGCCCTTCTCCGGCCTGCGGGGTCCACGTCCCTGGGGGCCTGACTCACCCCAACTCCCAAACCAGCCTCGCTCCTCACCCCTGCGGGCCCAGCCCAACCCCACCCCTACCCCCAACTCCTGCCTCTTCCTGACCCCAATCTTTTCCCAGCCCCAAATCTGTCCTCCACTCCTGCTCTGGCTACACCTGTTGGCCCGGAGCCCTCCATCAGGGGCACAGTGACGGGCAGCTGGGAGAGGGCTCTCACTGGGTGCTGCCAAAGGAAGAAAGTCCACAGGGCAGAGCAGCCCCGGGCCAGCGGCGCTGGGAGTCCTGCGCACGGGCCCTGGCCCCAGGTGTGTGCTGAGGAACCCCTGGTGGGAGCAGGTCAGAGAAGGGAGAGGCAGGACAGAGGGGCGGGGAGATGGGGGATGCAGCAGGGAGCTGGGGGAGAGGGATGGGGACCTCGGGACCAAGAGGCAGGCACGTGGAGGGACAGGGCGTTCGACGGACAAGGAAATGGGCGCAGACGAGGAGGAGCGGAGAAATGAGGTCCAAGATCCTGGAAGGCTAGCAGGAGGGCAGAGCAGGGCACCGGCGGGGTCAGGGAGACAGCAGGGCAGGGCCAGCAGAGGGCCTGGGCCGGCCGGAGCTGGGTGCTGGGCTGCTGGATCCCACAAGGGCCAGGGGCCGGCCGGCCGGCCTGGGGGAGGCTTGGGGCTCCCGGGGCATCAGGCGCGGTGCTAATTCAGCGCCATCGATCAGACGGGATGAGAGCAATAAATTATTGTGACAAGATGCAATCCTGGCCCGCACACTGCCGCCGAGGCGGATCGATCCCTGTCCCCAGCTCCACACCGGGTCCCATGCCCAGGCCTCGCTGGCTGGGACGCCTCTGCCCACATCTGCCTCCATTCCCCCGCTCACCCACTCATTCCCACTGGCGGCCAGGCCTGGTAGCAGCCCCAGGGGCAAGACGGGAAAGCTCAGCCGCGGGCTGACCCTGACCCTCTCTCTCCCCTCAGCGCCCCCTGTCTCACCACCACCTGTGAAGCAGGACTGTCAGCATGCCCATTTCACAGATGTGGAAACTGAGGCCCAAACAGGGCAAGGAACTTGGTCAAAGTTCCACAGGGCGCATGGTAAAGCCTGGATGTTAAGCCCCCACAATATTTGTATTTTCAGAGGAGAAAGGAAGGGGCAGAGACTGAAACGGAGGGAAGAGACGAGAGAAGGAATGAGACAGAGAGTGGAGGATGCAGGCAAGGAGAGAGCGTTGGAGAGATGTGGAGACACAGAGGCAGGAAGACAAAGGCGGGGGAGAGAGACAGAGACAGACACAGCGGCAGAAACTCAGAGACGGGAGGGGCGGGCAGGGAGCGGAGGCCGGCAGAGTGGACAGAAGGGAAGCAGGCCAGTGGGCACGCAGCCAGGGGTCACCGCAGAGGCCAGGGGCATCTGGGAGGCAGCTGTGCCGGCTCCATGCCGCCTGGGGATGACGGCCTCGGCCCCAGGGTCAGTGTCAGCGGGAGCCAGGTGAGATGGAGCGGTGGGAGGGAGACGGAGAAGCAGGAGCCGCCAGAGTGACCAGGTGGACAGAGGGCGGCGGTGCCCTGGTGGGCAGGCGCGGGAGGGCAGCCTCTGCCCCAGCGGCCTGGGGGGGGTCTCCAACACCTCCCAGCACAGTGATGTCCCCCGCCTGGGCCCTGTAAACTGGTGGCAGGCGTCAGCTCCCCCTCTCAGGACGGCCCCAGGAGGAAGACGGCACCTGTCACAGAGACGGGCCGGTGCCCCGTGGCTGTCACCGCTACCACCATCGCCAGCAGTGTCTACGCGGAAGGGCGGTGCCACGTGGTGCCACAGGTGGGGGACAGATGCCACTCGGAGGGGTCCCGGGTCATGCAGAGTCTCAGGCTCCACCCCAGATCCAGGGTGAGGCCCTGGATGTGTGCTGACTCCAGGGATCCTGTCCTGTGCAGGCCCGGTTCTCACGTGTGTCTAACGTGGGACAGGTCGCGGAGGGGCTCCCTGAGGAGATGGCTGCTTGGAGACCCGGGCCATGAGAAACGTTGCTGGACACAGCAGGCTGGAGGCAGGTGCCAGGGCTCGGCAGGTGTGGCCTTAAGGTGTGGAGGCCACAGGTCGCAATGGACCATGGGGAGTGGTGGCCGGGGTTGCGTAGGGAGTTCATGGAGGGCCCAGGGTGACAGGAAGTCCAAGAGCAGGGCGGGGAGGGAGTTGGGCCCATGTTGGGAGCAGGTGCGTGTCAGTGGGGCAGGGGTGTGTCTAGAGTAGCTGTCCCCTTTGGGGACAGGTTCGGGAAGCCAAAAGTGTGGCAGAGACCTGACCAAGAAGAGTGATTAAGGGGGCTGTGCGGGGGTCTCAGTTGCTGTTTGCTGAAGAAATAGGTCGACAGGTGACTCCCCGGGTAAAGAGGTGAGGCAGGTGTGTGGAGGTGTGACCCGGTACAGGGAGAGAAGAAGTGAGAACGATGGGAAGTGGGGATGTGGAACAGAAGAGAAATAAATGGGTGGGCAGCACCCGAGGGGCAGGTGAGGCCAAGCGTGTGCTAAGCGTGACGGAGTGGCAGGCACGCTGGCGGGAAGGCTGTGGGCCACGAGGAGACCCCTGGGCCACCGAGGCGGGTCGTGTGAGTGTGCAGGGGCTGTCTGGGGCCGGGCAGGCCCTTGTGGCCTGGCGTGAGTCACAAGAAGGGGCAGGTGAGACAGACAGACCCGGGGAAGTCGGAAGTATGCAGAGTGGTGGGCGATGGGGCGTGAGAGGCCCCAGAGAGTGGCGGCTGAGAGATGTGGAGATAGGAGGCCAGGTGTGCGGGTGGACGAGGACCTGCAGCATCGTATGGGGGACAGCCGGGGGGCAGGGACCGGCTGTGTCTGCGCGTGTGTGTGCGTGTGCGTGTGTAATGGGCAGGCAGAGGTACAGAAATAGAAGATTTGAGAAAGAGGTGTGTGTTGAGTGTTAGGGGACCAGGGGGATGGCACAACTTCAGGTAGGAAGGGGACAACGGCTCATGGCATGAGGTCCACGAGGGACCAAGCGGATTTTGGAAAACAGGTGTGTTACCTGAGAGACACCTCTGGGACAGGTTTGAGGGGAACAAGAGTTACCTGGAGAGACAGGTGAGAGAAAACAGGTGTTTGTTACCTACAGTAGCAATGAGGAGAACAGGCGTGGGGGACAGGTGGTCCCTTCAGGAAACAGGGGGAAGGAGACACACAGGTTACCCGGAGGCCCAGGTGTGAAGGGGGAACACGGATGTGACAGGTACGCCGACACACAGGTGTGAGTGAGGTGTTACCTGAGACCACAGGTGTGTGCAGTGTGACTGCTGCCTCAGTTTCTCCTGCCCTCCCTGGGGCCAGTTCCAGCTCTCAGGTCCCTCCCAAGGCTCCTGCCCTCGGCGGGGCACGCGCTCGGCCCCGGGCCTGCCGGGCAGCCGGGCTCCTGAGGCTGCTTGGCGATGCGGAGCGCGTCGGGGCCTCGGCGGCCGGCGGGGCGGGGGGAGCGGGCGGGGGGGCCGTTTAGCCGTGATAGATCCGCGCGCCGCTTGTCTCTTAATCTCCGGAGCGACCGATCGATTCGCTATTTCCCTTTGTTGCCAGAAAATTCGATCCTGGGCCTGGAATTAGGTCCCCGGCTTAATCTGAGCGGAAACCAGCGAGGGGGAGACAGAGACAGAGACGCCGGGAAGAGACAGAGACAGAGGGACAGCGAGAGACAGGGGGGCAGAGACAGAGACAGAGAGACGCGGAGGGAGAGACACAGGGAGAGATGGCCACAGCCGTCGCAGAGTTGGACCCAAAGCAGGAGAGACAAAGAGACAGCGAGAAGAGACCCAGCCAGGGGACAGACGGTGGGGGGGGGGGTCCCCAGGGGAACCTGTGCCTGTGATGGGAAGGGACAGGAAGTGTGTTCCAGGGGGGCACTGCCCGGCAAAGGGGGCTGCCCCCAAGGGTGCATATCCCGACCTGGCCCAAGTGTCCTCTCACAGACCCTGTGACCCCAATACCCAGATTCAGATTTGCAGACCCTCAGCCTTGAACTCCTAACCCCCCAAATTCAAACCCCTCGTCCCGGCCCCCAGCCTCAAACAGCTCCCAACTTCGGAGGTCCAGCTTCCCAGCCCGCAGGTCCCAGATAGATACGCAGGTCCTCAGCCCGGATCCCGGAACCCCGCTCGGACTCCTCAGTCCCTAGTCCCCAGCCGCGCCCTAGCGGCGGCCCGCAGCCCTCACCCCCAAATAGCGGAGGCCCGTCTCACCGGCCCCACGTCCGTCTCTGTCCTGCACTTCCCCCACCCAGCCCCACCTCCGCGCCCGGGTCCCCGAGGCCGCACCTCCGGCACTGCCCCGCCCCGCCCCCACCGCCCGCGCGGGCGACCCGGTCCGCCTCCCCAGCCTCGGGCTGCGACAGCCCGGCCCGAGGGGGGGGTCCCCCGGGACCACCGTCCGCGCCCCGGCCCCCGCCGCGGGCAGGAATCCCCGCCCCCATCCCCGCCCCTGCGCCGGCCCGCGGCGCTCACTCACTTTGCGGGCTTTGCGCATCCGCTCCGGTCCGGGAGAAGTGTTCAAAGTTCGGATCCCGCAGCCATGGCCGCGCGGCGTCCTGGGGAGGGGGCGCCGGGGCGGGCGCGGGGTAGGGAGAGATGCCTGGGGTCCCTGGGGGTGAGGGCGGGGCGGGGGGGGACAGAGACCCAGAGGACGGGCACGGGGAGTCCCTGAGACTCGAGGGACACAGGGACGGGGTTGGGGCCGGGGGGATGCGCAGAGGCAGGGACGCGCGGAGAGGGCCCCGAGGCGGACACGCACAGGGACTCGGAGCCGCGGCGCCGGGCCGCGAGCTGCGGGCGGGCGCGGGGCGCGGGGCGCGGGGCGGCCCTGCCTCCTCCGCCTCCTCCGCCTCCCGCTCCTCCTCCCGCCGCCCCCTCCCCAGCGCGCCGCGCTCCCGCCCTCGCGCCGCGGCCCGCTCGGCGCGCAGATATATGGAGGCGGCGGCGGGCGGCGCGGGGGAGGGGGCGGGAGCGCGATCGATGGAATATAATTTTCCTCAAACTCGGAAAATAAAGTTCAGAGCTGATCAAATTTGAAAACAGATGTCGAATCGCGACTCTAAATAAGGTTCGATCCCGGGACTGAGGGAGTGGGGGGCGGGGCGGGGGCGCACGCCCCCTCCTCCTGGTGCCCCTCCGGCCGCCGTCCGGGACGCGCGCACCCGCGCGAGGCGCGGCCAGGACACCCCAGCTGGCCTCGGACTGGAACGAGGCGCAGAGAGAGACCCGCAGCCCGGGCAGCCCCGCGGACACAGGACACAGAGTGCACAGACGGTGGACACGTCCCGGCGCGGCGGAGCGGAGGCAACGCAGAGCCTGTTCCCTGCGCCGCGCGGGTGCACGCACACCCGCGCCCACCCACGGCCGCTGCCTGGTCCCTGACCCCACGGGCGGGCGGACACTGCAGCCGCACTTCAGGCGGCACGAAGGCCCTCTGACGCGCAGTCAGCCCTGCCCAGCCCAGCCCAGCCCCTGGAAATAAGTCAGGAGCATCGTCAGAGCCCCGGGGTTCCTCTCCCCTGGCAGACCTCACCCTCACCCTGCTCCTTTCCCCTCCCCTCCCCACCTGTACCTCCCATTCCCTCATCTGGCTTCCACCCCAAGGCCGGGGGTGGGACAGCCCCTGGAGTCACCTGCTGCAGGGGGAGACAGCAGTCCCCAGCGGGTGGGCTGTGGCCAGGACCCCCAGGCACTGAGGCTGGGGGCTGTGAGGGCCTGGAACCCCAGCCCAGTTTCCTCATCTGCAGAGTCAGGCAGGGCTAAACCACTGGACAAGCGCAGGGCCGGTGGCACCAGGACACCTTTGCCGAGAGCATTGGCACTCCAAAGCCAGCGTTAAAAACACAACGTCAGCTGGAAAACCACAGTCCCCTCGATGGTCTCCCAGGTCTTGCTGAACGGCAGCCAGCAGGAAGCCCGACCCTGGCCACTTGCCACTTCCCAGGGCTACTTCTCAGGACCACCCACCCCCCGCCCCGGCCCCGGGCACGCAGCCTCCTGGAAGACGCGCACCAGCTAGAACAGGTCTCTGAGCCTCGTACCCCTGGCCTGTGACACTGGCCAGGCTTTGGAGGACATCTCCCTAGTGCCTACCCAGGACGTGGTTCTGAACACCCGGGAGGAAATGCTGGAATCTTCCCGGAGGGAGGACTCCGTCTGCACAGGGCGCCCTCTGGGAGAGGGAGGAAACCCTCTGCGTGAATGTGGCTCCCTGGCCCGAAAGCTACACCCTTCAAGGGGGCACTGCCAGAATGCCTTTGTGTGCCGCTGCCGGCAATGACGCCTGCAGAGAGACTGAGGAGGGCCCCTGAGCACACAGCCCGGTCGGCGGCGGTTCTCGCTCCATGGACCCCACTCCGGGGAGCTGCCCCTCAGTGCACTGTACACAGCACACTTCTAGAAAACAGGGCTCCTACAGACTGTCGGTGACACCCCACGATGGCAACGGACAGCAGTGGGGAGGGCTGTGGACTCGCTGTAGCCTCCGGGGGCTGCAGGACTCCCACAGAGAGCCCTGGGCTGTAGGTCTGACTCTCAAACACCCTTGGCACGATGCCCCGCCCCCTCCTGATTGCTGTAGCGCCTTCAGTGCTGTGCATCTTTGAGCAGCTTGGACTCCCTCTCTGAGCCCCGGGAGACGGGGCAGACTCCCGAGAAGGTGGCGCCAGGGGAGGCACCCGTAGGTGCTCCATAGAAATGAGGGTCTTGCTGAATCGTGGAGCAAGGGTGTGGCCTGGCCGGAGGCTGCCCAGTCACGCCTTAGCGGACCTGACCAGGGAGCCCGTCACAGGCGGGGCATCGTTAAGCTGTAGTTATCCCCAGAGAGGCTGAGGGGCAGAAAGCTGAGAGAGGACGTCCTCAGGGTGAGTAATGTCCCCTAGGAGGGAGAGAGAGGACGTTCACCAGCCTGTGACACCCAATGGACTGGCTTTATTACCCATGAAGGAGACTGAACACCTCGGGGGTCTGGAGTGTCCCCAAGACTCACACCCCCGCCCCGAGAGAGAGGACCCTGGACACCCTGGACCCCTGCCCCCCCAGGTGTAGCCGATAGCACTCAAGGTGACAGAGGCTGAGACCCCTCCCCCCTCCAAGGATCCAAATCCCTGACCCCCTTCCCACCAGCCCAGCCCTCGGGGAACCTCGCTGGAATGGGGTGGGTCCGGCACGGTGCTGGCTGCAGCCGCCAATTAACACTTCAAAGGGCTTGCTCCAGCCTGAACTCTCTCTCGCGTTCCTCTCTCACCGCAGCCCCGCCAGGGGGGTGCTGCCATCACTGTCACTCCTGTTTTAGAAGAAACTGAGGCACAGAGGTGTTCACACCGCCCGGCCTCACACAGCCACTCAGTGTTGGGAGTGGGCCTGGCGTGGCGGGGGAGGCGTCTGTGTTTCTAACCACTGGGCTGTGCTATCTGCTGGTGTGCACCCCACCCCCCATGGGCCCCACATCCTAGACCTGGGGCTCACTGGGGACCAGCACTGCACCACACAGCTCTGGGTGGTCCCCTGCTCTAAGGGTCGCCGCCCCCAACCCCGCAGCAGGGAGTCCACCCTCCCCCACTGTGGACCGTGGTCACCGGGGGCTCAGGGCCTCCGTCTGATTCGGCTTCTGTGTCCCCACTGAGGGCCAAGTCTTGGGGGGGGGGTTCGGAGGAGGCTGGGAGGGGTGGGGGGAGGGAAGGATGATTTTGAAGAGGGGTGGGGTGGAGGACTGGGGCCTAGAGCTGAGCCAGGCGGGGGCCTTGGGGGTTGGGGAAAGCTCAGGGAACCGGGAACTCCATCCGCTGGGGGTGGCACACCCCCGCCCCTCCCCAACCCAGCCTGGAGAGAGGAGGGACCCAGGGTGCCCCTGGGTGGTAAAAGAGGATCGCGGCAGGGTGTGCTTGGGGGAGGGGCGGGACGGACAGCCGAGGGTGGGGAAGGAGGCAGATCCCAAGGAAAAGATGGGTGAGTCTGCCGGGAAGATGGGTGGACTGGTGGAGGTGGGGTCCCAGGAACCGGACGGAGAGACGGACACGGGGCTTGGGCTTGGAGAAGGCGAGGAAGACAGGCGTGGGGCGGGCAGGGGCCTCCCGGGAGGGAAGACGGACAGAGGCGGACAGACGGACAGAGGGACGGCAGTGCAGGCGCGGCCCGCGGGGCCAGGGCCAGGCCGAGGGCGCGCGGTGGCGGCCGGCGCGGGGAGGCGGAGGCAGAGCGAGCGGCGGTGTTTGTGGAGCTGTCGGCTGCGGTGGAATTATGAAAAATAGCAGGCATCGGAGCCGGCCTTCAGCTTCGATTAGGGGAGATGGGACATGACAGGTGCGATCAATACGCAGCCGTTCTATAAAGTGTCAAGTAATGAATCAATTTCGACTAAATTTTCCATTTTTCAGAGGCCGTTCTCCGAGAGAAGAATATCCTCTTTTGTAAAGATATTATTATCGATTTCGGCGGCAATTTGACATCAGGGGTAGTTAATTCCACTCAGAATAAAATTGAAAACACTTGAGAGAGAAAAGAGAGAGGCGAAGAGTGAGACAGAGAGGGAGAGAGGGGGAGGGAGGGAGGGGAATGGAGGGAGGGCGAGATGGATGGACAGAGAGACAGAGACGGGGAGACAGAGAGAGGGAGAGACCGAGAGGGGGCCCAGAGACGTAGAGACGCAGAGAGAGAGAGAAAGTTAGAGGCTGTGAAGACCAGAGTTACACACACACACACACACACACACACAGACTGTGGGTGACTCAGAGACAGGGCGAGGAGAGACGGGGAGAGACCAGCGGGAGCGCACGACAGAGACCGACTGTCCCAGAGAGGAAAGGACAGAGGGCAGGATGGGGGACAAAGAAGAGAGCGAGAGGCAGGGGGAACTGACCCAAGCTGGGGAGGGGGAGCAGAGGGGTGCGAGCCCGGGGAGGGGAGGGGCAGGCAGAGAGGAGGGGGCCGGGCTGGAGGTGGGGCCGAGGAGAGCAGGGCTGGGGGCTGGGGCGGTCCCCCTGCCCGGCCCTTGCTCTGCCCCATGCGTGTGCATGCGTGTGCACCCATGTCTGTGGCGTGTCTGTGAGCTCCTCTGTGGGGCTGGGGTCCGATCCCCGGATGCTGTGCACGCGTGTCCCGCCTGTGCTGAGGGTCTGGGGAGCAGGCAAGCGGTGAGAATGTGCCAGTTAGTGCCTGTCAGTCCCCAGCTGAAGTCTCCATTTATCCCTGAGCAGGTCACAGGCTGCGTGGGACGGAGACGGGGCGGGAAGAGGGGACCACTGGGTGTGGGGGGAGAGAGGCTGGGGATCAGGACCCGAGGGGGGCGAGGGGGCTGAGGGGGAGGCCTGGAGCTGGAGGGGCCCGGGTCTGGACTCGCAGGCCTGAGCCAGGAGAAGCCAGGGCGGGGTGCCTTGGACCCGTGGGTCTGAGGGAGGGGGGCCGGGGACAGGATGGTCTTTGGCCACAGGCAGTGGGGCCAGCTGGGAAAATCCTCACTAGGCGGCAGCCTCCTCACAGGAAAGCCTGCGCCTGCTGCCCCCTAGTGGACGTGGGGACCAGGCCAGCAAGGGACCGAGAGCCGACAGGTCAGGGAACCTGGGAGCGCAGCCGGACACAAGGACCCCAGTGGGAGCAGAGAGGGAGCGGGGAAGGGAGGGGGAGGGATGGGCAGAGAGGCTGGAACAGAGAGCCGTGGGCAGACGGGGCAGGGGCCAGGAAGACAGAACATGGAGAGCCTAGTGGGGGGAAAAGAGAGGCAGAGGGCGTGGAGGTGGGGAGCGCTTTGAGGGGCAGGGGAAGAAGGGGACAGAGGAGGGAGAGAGAACAAGGAACAGGCAGAGACACAGGCGGACAGAGAGGGAGGCGGACGCTCCTGGAATGACAAGAAAGGTGGACAGAGTGGGAAGACAGGTGGAC